TCTAGATTGCATTGCATTTCAACAACAAATTATATATATCTTTTCTGGCCAGGAGATAGAACGGTATATACAGAGGCCTTACTGGGGCATGAAAAACATAGCCAAGTTAAGCCTTTAAGTGTATGTGACTGACATATATAAAAGGTAAACTTAAGTCATCTTTCCATCAAATATTACTCGTGATGAAAACCTTTCCTAGACTTTTAGATGAATGAAATGTTAAGGAATGGTCAAGAAAATACAGCAAAATTAGCAAAATTCTCTAGCTGAGCATATAACTCCCACTTTCTTGTCTTCTCTTTTCTACTTCAAAGCACCTTCTCATCTTGCTGCTTATGAACAGATTCTGAATGAAAAGGCCAGGCCTTCTTCCATTTTGTTATTCTACTAATTTGTTCGTTCTACAGCTTCATACATGTGAATCAAGTCAAAATGGTGATTTAAAAAAACAAACAAGAAACCCCCAATTTATCTGACTCTCTTCCTCCAATTCCTTGGCCATAAAATTTTAGTAGTCATCGCTTGTTTTCTTAGGGAAAATGGCATTCTCACTCTGTAAAGTCTGACCCATAAAAACTGCTTTTATGAGAATTGCTTCAATAATGGTTGTGTAATCTCTGTCCAGAACCTGATTATTAATCATTTGATCTTACTGCTTTACATACTTAATAGCTTGAAGGTGCTGGAATATTTCCAGACGGTCAAAGTGCCTGCAATACAACAGGCACATGTTCCACACTATGCAATCAAATAAACAGTGTTTATCATCCACCAGTTGCCTATGAGAACCCTGTGATAAATGCAGATTCAGTAATCCCAACTGTTTGCTAGCAAAATTCTGTTTATCTCAACAGAATTACATGCTAGCAAAGAACGTGGTCCAATGTTATTTCCTTTGTGATACACATACCTTTAAGCTTTACACTGTATCTCTTCAGTAATGACAGTACAGAATCACCTATGGTAAGGATGATATTTCGGGGCCTTAGGTTAACCTCATCGATCACACAATTATACCTAAACATGTTTACACATAAAAGTGTGCAATTTTCTTCTTGCCTGTGTAAATCAGCAGCTTGATAGAGAGCTACTGATGATACTTGCTAGATTTCATAAAGATAGAAAAAAAATTTCCCTTAAACTAACACATTCTCTTACTTTTGTGGAGGTATTCTATCCATATAGATTGAGCAGTAACTTGTCAAGACATTGTCAAGATCTAAAGTAATACTCAGTGCCATGTTTCAAATAGCACTATTAAACATTACTGCAAATAATCAAACAGAAAGATTCAGTGCCAAAATAGGCTTATCTATCTTAATTTGATATTTAAATGTAATTTGATATTTAAATGGCTCAGAACGGTACTGTCAGAGAAACCTTACCCAGCTTTTTCCCACGACAACTGCAATATTTAAACTGAAATTTCCAAAACCTCGACAGCATGGTCAATGGTCCTGTTAGCTGAAACTCAAAAAAATGAAAATGATTTGTAATTCAGTAACACTAACACAGAATAAGTGCAAGTGAGGACTAGACTGATTAAAAAAAAGGGGAGGGGGGCAAAAAAAGCACTCGAGGAGGTTAAAAACTTTAAAACTTCTAATACAAAAGATGTACCACAGAGTAAGGAGAGGCCATTATAATATGGGTTTTATACACTGTTTAAAAGAGTATAGAAGTATATTTCTTCAATGAAGAAATAAAGTGATGTAGAAAGAAGGGCAGCAGAAAAAAGCGTGATGGACGGTAAACAGGTCTTGCACAGAATAAAATAGCAGAGAGAATTTAAGTTGGTACACTCTCTGAGTGGCCACACACACAAACCTACGGCCTTCAATATAAATTACATTAAAACTAGTTGAATAAGGAGGAAGAAATAAGGAATATACCATCAGAGGTTGGAAAAATCTGAATAAGTTTTGGTTAGGGTTTGAAATGAAATTTCGCACAGAAGTACAGCATTTAGGACTGTTTATTCATTTATTTATTTTTAGGAATTTTGCTATTTCATACATTAGAGTTTGAGCTGTAATCACATTTTTTCCCCAAACACTACTCCAGAGAGTTACAGTTACAGCACTAAATGTAAATAGGATGCATATGGAATACACACCACACGAGAATATCCAGAATATTAGGATAGATAAGCTTTCCAACAGTAGTATTGCATTATATAACATAAAGGATAATATCTACAGTACTTTTAAGAAATCCTTTACACATAAAAGGACAATGCATGCTAAAGAAGAAATTAAATACTGCAGAATTTTGCTCAGCCTCAATTATCTTTTTTACGCTTCAGTACCAAATAGGAAGTCAGAAATTGAGATAGCTCTTTCATGAAACTAGTGCAGAGGTGATTATGCAACATAATGCCAGTAAGACAGGTTTGGTATATCATTCTGACAAAGAGGATCACAGCAGCTTTCTCACCCGTGGAATTGTAATAAGATTAATTTGTGAAAAATTCATAGATGAACCACCATTAGAAGTTAGCATAAATTACTCAACGGAATGTGTAAAAGTTATTGCTAGTACACCTAAAACATCCCCTGACTCAGGACACTATGTAGCAAGTTGGTAAGGGAACTGTCAACAGATTTACAGACCAAAAAGAATTCTAAGGGAATTTCTATTAGGCATTACCCTTGCCTCTACTTTCTACTACATATATTTCTTTCTGACATAATTCATACTAGTTTGCCATGTATTTCACTGATGATGACCGAAGAGAGATTTAGTTTTGAATCAAAATGCTCATTTCCCAAGTTTTTTCTTACTTTTAAGTAACATTCATACCACTAAACTTGTTTCTTGCTGAAGTAAATTGAAATAAGCTTTTTATGTAAATTCTGTAAAAAAATTAATTGAACATCTCCATTATTTACTAACTACATCATTCATGCTTCTCTTATTTGTTCTGAATTTCCTGTAACATGTACCTTGTAAAACACGTGAGCTTTTTCTGCTTGTTAAATTTTCACACTATCCGTTTGTCTCATAAGCCACGGCTGAACAACACCTGCATACTTTGAACACTGTAAGGCATCCTGCCTAAAAATGAAAATGCAATAACAAAAATCTTTTCAGTAGGGAGGATACATCTTTATAAATGAAATACAAGCTGTGAAATAAAAATGCATTATCACATTCAGCTCAAAACTGAAGGAAAACAAATTAGCCATATTTGAAAGTGTCTGATGTATAATAAAGATGTAGGTAATAATAAATCACACCACAGAAAAAAAACAAACAGTCACAGCTACTGAAAACCTAAACCTCTGTAGGGACTACTGGTTAAGAAGCTGATACATTACATGGAGGACTGAAGTATCTAATCTTCCAAGTCAGTTGTAAATAGTAGCTTGTAAATACAGCATTTACAGGGACAATAGAAACAAATTCTCTAAATAGCAAGACAAGTCCATAAGGCAACCAATGTTAACTAAATCTATTTCACAAAAGGAAAAACTGAGCTGGAGACATCTTTAAGAAACAGCTATACTCACTCTGTACTGTTTGTACCAATCAGCTGATGGATGATAAATTAGAAAGGTGAATGTTTGAAGTTGTGTTTAATTATTCAAATTTCAAAAATATTTATTCTTGTAATTGTATCACGAAGGCAAATAATATGATCCATTCAATGAATTACATTTTGTCCTGAATTCTAAAGGTAATGATTTTATTTTCATACAAATAAATAACTTCATGAGAAAGAACTACACTGCAGCAGTAAGAAAGGAATTGGTATTTTTGTTTATTAGCAGTTTGAAATCCTGACCTCCATGCTTGTGAAAGGCCTTTCAAAACTGTAGGACACTTTCTTAAAATATTTAAAGCATATACACGCATGTACATGCACACCCACACATACTCATATAAATGATTACTCTCCTCTTATGAATCTTACAGTTTTTTGTAAGGTACGTAGTCAGCGGACAGGCAGATAGATCGATAGGGTTTGACTTCCCAAAGCGTCCTTGAATTTTCTCCCTGAGGTAGTCAGGGTTGGTTGCTACTGCTAAGATCCGTTCCCACTAGTACAAGGGCTTCTATGTAAACATATCAAGGCAAGGCAAACTAATTCCTGAGCTTTACATGCATGAAAATTATAATATGATCACATCTTGAAACAACTGAACCAAGATTCTTATGAATTTAACAGCTGTGCAGTTTAATTTTGTTTGCACGAATGCCTGGGTCTGTAAAAAAGTAATTGTAGTGCTGCAATATCACGTATTTGCTTTTGGTTGATGTTTGCCTTTTCCGGGCTTTCCACATCTGATTCTTCTCTCACCATGGAACAGAAACCGTTAAAGACATTCCTAAAAAGGACTGTTGAACAGACTTTCCCAAGGCAGTTAATCACAGGAAGTAGTTGCGTAATTCCAGAAACAGAATTATATGAATCTTAGGTTCCAAATATGATATTACACAGTAAATAATTAATTTTTATTGGTATATATAAGTGAGGGGAAGTTGGTGCAGAGTGAGCTGTAAAATCTGTTAAAATATTGGTACACTTATTTCTTGTTTGGAAATGAAAGCTTTTTTTCAACACTCCATCTGGCCCACTCAAGTAATACTAAGCATTAATCTGTAAGTGAAAATTTCAAACCAAAGTACAGAATTTGCTTGACTTAAAATAACTTAGTGAATAGTACATTGCACTTGCCTGTTACAGGCTTAGGGCCTTTGCTATGGCAAGTATGATAAGAAAGGAATTATACTCTCAAGGAAACCAAAAAAGTATACATAGAACTTAGACACCCCTCACTAAATGGAGGATAAGGACTATTCTGTTTCTATAAGATTCTTCAGATGTGTGCAAAATACATGGATTATGTGTTTTCAGCAGCTATGAACTTTAGGGAAATAATTTTCTGCAG